GGGAGTTGTTAGTTCAGAGGGCGTTCAAATTTCATACGCACACTCCTAAGGATAGGTTGCCGTATACCGTTGTGGTAGATAGGCTTTCCGGCGATTTTACCGCCGATGAAATAAAGGAAGAACTCTGCACGCTTGACTTCCCAGTCTTCGTGCAGAGCCTAGTCAACATCGCGCCAGATAAATGGTTCGTTAGGGTTGATAGGAAGACTGACATACACAAGCTGTATAAGGTCAATAGGTTGTTCAGCCTTAGTGTATTTATCCGAAAGTATAGGGCGATAAAGTCAACGCGGTGCTACAAATGCCAGCGTCATGGACACATCGCCGCAAACTGTGGGATGCCGCCAAATTGCGAGAAGTGCAGCGAAGGACACCCCACCCATCTGTGCCCCACGTTTGAAGCGGGCAAGGAGACGGACGCAATCCCCAAGTGCGTCAACTGCAAAGTGGAAGGCCACTCCGCGGGCTCCCCATCCTGCCCTAAACGGAAGGCAATACTGGAGACAGGGATCCAAAGGAGGAAGGAAGCTGAGTCCAAACAAAAAGCCAGGTCTGGCCGCATCGCTGATGAGAAGGCCAAGCTGACTTATGCTGGTGTTGCGGGAAGAAAATCTGGACAGCCCCAGAAACCCACCCGGCCATCTACTACCCCCAAATCTCCTGCTGCCGCCGCTCGCCCATTCGGACCAACCCAAGACATTGGAGGACTGATGAGCAGCATGCCCAAGGAGTTCAGACACCTATCGACATTAGCCAAGGTTAGGTCGTTCGGTACCAGTTTTAGGCGTATCCGCGAAGAAGGGGGAGACGCGGAAGCTTGGAGGGCCCTAATGGTCCATATAGCCTTAGAATAGGTATGTTGAAGTGCGTTTTTCTAAACGTCAGCTCCATAGTTTCTAAAACTAGGGGGCACTTCTTGCGGAATTTTGTCCTAGAGCATCAGCCGGACATTATTATGCTGGCAGAAACTTGGCTCCCTCCCAGCCAAAAGTTTTACTGCCAAGGATTTAAAATCTATAGGCAGGATAGACTGACAGGCCCAAGAGGGGGCACTGCAGTCTAAGTAAAAGATAGGTTTCGTTTAGAAAAAATCCCCATTTTCTCAGGGGATATAGAATCTTGTGTCGCTAGGGTTTGGAGTGATGATGGACGCCTTCGCGTCTGTTTATCAGCGCCGTGTTGGTCCCTTCCAAATTTTGGATCTGGACCAGATACACGCTTTACGCGACAGTGGCGACCTTGTAGTTGGTAGAGACCTGAACGCGAAACATCCCTTATTTGGTGGTGCAGAGGTCGACACCAGGGGAAGAGCAATCTCTGCCTTCCTTCTCGATTGTCCGGATGTAGCAGCCATTCCATCTGATAGCGGATAGATCGACCTCAACGAACCACTACTTTGAATCCGACCATAGGACGATTCTCATAGAAATAGAGTCAGACTCCTTACAAAATGAAGAAGTCAGGTAGTTTCACAACTTCGACCGGATGAATATCCGTCGATATAGGCAGCGCTTGCGCAGCGGCTTGGAGGAGGTAACTCTGCCAGCCGACCGCAACGTATCCATTTCGGATATTGATAGCTGCGTTGAGGATTTAGGCTCCGCCTTCCGAGATGCCATAGATGCTTCAGTGCCCAAATATAGGGCAAGAAGTTCTATCCTGGGCAATCTTCCTCCTAGGATCGCAAGCTTTATTAGGGAACGTAGACGGCTATGTCGAGTGTTGCGTAGATCTGGTGATCCTGAGCGACGACTAGTCCTCGCCATAGATGCTTCAGTGCCCAAATATAGGGCAAGAAGTTCTATCCTGGGCAATCTTCCTCCTAGGATCGCAAGCTTTATTAGGGAACGTAGACGGCTCTGTCGAATGTTGCGTAGATCTGGTGATCCTGAGCGACGACTAGTCCTCACGGCCGATATCCGCAACCTCGACCAGATTATAGAAGGCAATATTCGCCTATTCGAAAACGATAGGTATAAAGGCTTTCTCGAGGGAATTACGGTCAATTCCAAGACCTATGGCAAGGTCAATCGAATGGCTGGCCTTGCCTCTCCAGATCCAGTCAGTCTCCTTGTAGACTACTCTGGTGTTAGGATCAGATCGGATGAACTTAGGGCAGATATGTTGGCGGATCAGGTGCAGGGAACGCTTCGACATGAGGGAGCTTCGGTCGACGATCCTTTTCAGCGTCAAGTCAACTTGGCGGTGGAAGGGATTAGAGACCATTCTCCTATTGTGTCGTTTAGCAGTTCATTCACTGCTAATGGCTTCTCTGTGGACAACTTCTCTCTTTGGGAAGACGGCGGGTTTGTCTATCCCAGGAAGGTTGGTTTCGCGCTTTCACGCCAACCAGCCCGTAAAGCCTGGGGTATGGACCAAATTCCCGATGTAGCTGTGAAAAGGGCAGGAAATGTAATTCTGTCCTTTTTGACAATCCTCTTCAACCATTGTCTGAATCTAGGATACTTTCCGACGGCTTGGAAGGAGGCCAAGATGGTTACCATTCTGAAACGGGGTCCTGATACCTCTCAGTGTGGCAACTACTGGCCTATTTCCTTTCTATCGCCGTTTGGAAAGTTATTTGAATCCTTTATTCTGGCAAGGATTAGAAGAACCGCAGAAAATAGGAGAATTCTGCGGGACTGTCTGTTCGGTTTTAGGTCTTGCCTCTCTACGACCCATGCCTTAATGGCTTGTTGGAAAAGTTTTCGACAGGAAGTAAGGAACTATAGCCGTCTCCTTAGATATTGCCAGGGAAAGAAGAATACTCTTCTCTTGTCTGGGTCTACGCCCCATCCTTAGGGCAGATGGCTCCTATAGATCCTATTCCTGTAGGGCGATCTACGATAGGGCGAATATAGACAGGATAGATGTCTTCATGATGAAGACTGGACTAGCATTTTTAGACAAATGCCAGTTCTTAGAATGAGGGAATGTTTAGGTGCTTTGAGGACCAGCGGACCAGCTTCGCTTCCTGCGGCCCTTGCCATGCTGAACGTGCTGGGCCTGCTCTATGTTGATGAAGGTCTTCTATTCTTTCATAGGGTCTATAGGGTCTATATTTCGGATATAGTCGAATCTTAGGCATGAGGGGTGGTCTTTCCCACGATGTTAGGCTTCTGATCTACCGGCAGGTAATCAGACCTATCGTCGCCTATGCTTTCCCCGTCTGGTTTGACATTTCGTCTCACCAGATGGAAAGGCTAAGGGTGTGGGAAAGAAAAATACTCTTCTCTTGTCTGGGTCTACGCCCCATCCTTAGAGCAGATGGCTCCTATAGATCCTATTCCTGTAGGGCGATCTACGATAGGGCGAAAATAGACAGGATAGATGTCTTCATGATGAAGACTGGACTAGCATTTTTAGACAAATGCCAGTTCTTAGAATGAGGGAATGTTTAGGTGCTTTGAGGACCAGCGGACCAGCTTCGCCTCCTGCGGCCCTTGCCATGCTGAACGTGCTGGGCCTGCTCTATGTTGATGAAGGTCTTCTATTCGTTCATAGGGTCTATAGGATCTATATTTCGGATATAGTCGAATCTTAGGCATGAGGGGTGGTCTTTCCCACGATGTTAGGCTTCTGATCTACCGGCAGGTGATCAGACCTATCGTCGCCTATGCCTTTCCCGTCTGATTTGACATTTCGTCTCACCATATGGAAAGGCTAAGGGTGTGGGAAAGAAAAATACTCTCCTCTTGTCTGGGTCTACGCCCCATCCTTGGGGCAGATGGCTCCTATAGATCCTATTCCTGTAGGGCGATCTACGATAGGGCGAAAATAGACAGGATAGATGTCTTCATGATGAAGACTGGACTAGCATTTTTAGACAAATGCCAGTTCTTAGAATGAGGGAATGTTTAGGTGCTTTGAGGACCAGCGGACCAGCTTCGCCTCCTGCGGCCTTTGCCATGCTGAACATGCTGGGCCTGCTCTATATTGATGAAGGTCTTCTATTCTTTCATAGGAGGTTTTTAGACCCGGATTTGAGTAGACTGGTGTATAACACTGCCCAGCTCACTTAAGATAGATTAAGTAAGTTTAAGTAGTTATAAGCGTATTGTAAATATTTAATTTTAATTTTTATTATCGTAAGTTCGTAAGTTTCAATCAGCCCTTTTTTGTATGATTCTACTTTTCGGGGCATAATTTAAGTAGTACCCTTAAGGCTTAATGTAGCAAGTTATGTACACAAACATGTTGTGGCACTTTTAGTTAATGTAAAGTAGGCGTTGTACAAATGCATGCTTATTTGTCGTATAGCTAGGTTTAAGACATTTTACCTATGTTAGTAGTAAGTTTTTGAATTAATAAAACGGCCATAGGCTAAAACTGAAAATACACAAAACAAAATACACTTCTGAAACTGAAACGTTTTGTTTATCATTTGTGAACAGTGTTAAAAGTGTTTGTGTAATTAAAAAAAAAATAATAAGTGAAAATGTCTCCTAAAACCAGTAGAAAAGCAGCAAAGAAGGCCGGCAAAGCCCAAAAAACATTATCAAGGGCGATAAGTCGAAGAGACGTACCAAGCGTAAGGAGAGTTACGCTATCTACATTTACAAAGTGTTGAAGCAAGTCCATCCCGACACCGGTATCTCCTCCAAGGAACAGTTTCGTCAACGATATCTTCGAACGTATTGCCGCCGAAGCCTTTCGTTTGGCCCACTACAACAAGCGCTCGACCATCACCAGTCGGGAAATCCAGACCGCCGTCCGTCTATTGTTGCCCGATGAATTGACTAAGCACGCCGTCAGTGAAGGTACCAAGGCTGTTACTAAATACACCAGCTCCAAGTAAATGTCTTGATATTTTTCATTTTGCGTCGAAATACTACCTTAAAAGGCCCTTTTCAGGGCCACAAAAAACATTTCAAAAGATATCATATTTTCGTTGAAACTACGTTGAAAAAAAAAATTTGTCATTTTTGGATGAAATTTGACAGAGAATGTGAAAATGGCAAAATTTTCAAAATTAAGTAGAAATTATAAAAATGACCAAATTATAGGGATTTTCGAGAATTATGATCTGTGGGTAATTAGGAAAAATGTTAAAAATTTTATTTTCTTTTATGACCTGGGTTAAAAAATAATCCAGTGGCGTCCACGATTATATTGGTTCAATAAAATTACCTAATAAGAACAGTAATATTTTTTTCCCCAAAATCAAACACGTGTACAAATTAACTTATGTATTTAGGTAATAAATATATACGATAGATGTTGAAAATGACTATTTGTCTCTTTTTTAATTTAATTTGTAGCCCTGAAAAGGGCTGTTAGATAGTATGTTTTCGAATATCGAAAACATTTTGGAAAAAGTAATCTTTCTGGGAAAAATTACTTCTTGGCGGCGGCTTTCTTAGCAGCTGGCTTCTTTGCTGCTGCGGCTTTTGGCGGCGGTATTTGCTGGTTTAGCAGCTGCCTTTTTCTCACCAGCGGACTGAAGCAGACAATTTGAATGAACCAGAAGCAACCTTACCTTTAGTTTGGATCAATTTTCCGCTGGCAATGGCACCTTTCAAGTTCTTCTTGATTAAAGAGGCCAATTTTTGGGCATCTACTTTGTAGGTGCTGGCCAAGTATTTCTTGATCTCGGGCAATGATGAACCTCCACGTTCCTTCAGGGTCTTGATGGCGGCATCAACCATTTGCTGGGTTGGAGGGTGGGTAGGTGCAGCTGATGGCTTCTTTGCTTTGGCAGCGGCCTTTTTTGGTGCCTTTTTCTCAACAGCGACAACTGGGGAGGCGGTGGCTTCAACAACGGCGGCGTCAGACATGGTTATTCACTGTTTGGTTTATATTTCACTGTTAACACAAATGCACTCACAAATTTATGTATACTATTATTTTTGTTAGCGGCGTTCAAGTTCAATTTATTGAGATTTTTTGGCTTTCGCCTAACCTTAAGTAATATTAAAAATAATATTTGTACTTAGCATACTAGTATTTATCTAAGTCTATCTTATAATTACGTATATACATACATAGGTTGCAGCAGGTATGCAACCTATACTTAAGTCTAAAAATTAATATTATTAATTTATCTTTGAATAATTTCAACAAGAATTTTATTTCTTTTTCTCCCAAAAAAATAATCTTAAAAAAGGAGTATCTTATCAATTTTTGTTTTAGATTCTTACATACTACTTAAAAACTAGGCACTTAAAATAATAATTATATACATATATACTGAGGACGTATCATCGGCTATTGTTCCAATTGGTAGACGGTGTTGTATAAGTCGAATGTTTTGTACTGGCGATGGTAGAACACTAATTGGTCTTCATTAAATAAAATGCCTTCATTATTGAGGATTTCAAGGCTATTTGGAGGATGGTAATTTGCCTCCAATAGTCCATCAACATATGGGAAGCTGTTTTCAAGACTTCTTGCGACCAAAGCGTTTTCGCAGTAAGTTGCTTTGTGTAGAAAGTTGAGAGCACTCTTCACCAAAAAGACATCAATCCTTTTGAATGGGAGATCTTTATATTAAATAATTTGGGGGCGATCGCCATATCCCATCCTGACCCAAATAATGTTTTAGATTAAGGCAAGACCTTAAGATACCCCTTTCCCAGATTCGAATTCTCTTCATCTGATGGGAAGATATTCCGTACCAAACCGGGAACGCATAGGCCACTATTGGTCTTATTATCTGCTTATAAATTAACAATTTCACCGGGAGGGATAGACCGCCAGTTCGGCATATTATTCTTTGAAAAGCCCAGAATAGTTTTTTGGCTTTTTCTAGAATATGGTTAACATGTCTGACGAACTCAAAATTAGAGTGGAATACCACTCCAAGGCATTTGAGCTCCTCAGACACATGTACCAACTGTCCGCCAATGCATGGGGTTGCCTCAAACCCTCTAGAGCTGGGGTACAGATATTTTTTTAGGCCTTTGAAAACAATGGCCTCGCATTTGCCAATATTTAGACACATTTTCCATCTGTAGAAATATACAGAGAGGTTCTCTAGATATTCGTTCAGACGTATGTTTGTGTTGTATGCATGTGCCCCCGAGGCGGCTATAAAAATATCATCTGCATAGATGAGAAGTAAGTCACTCACGGGGGGCAGAGGGATGTCGCACAGAAATATATTGAATAGAACGGGGCCCAACAAGGATCCTTGAGGGACTCCCGTGTATATTTCTCTGGCGGATGAATGCGAATCACCTATCCTTACTTTAAATTTCCTAGACTGAAGGAAGTCGTATACTAGTCTACAGATAAGGTGAGAAAAATTTAAACTCTTCATTTTGTAGACTATGGCATTATGCCAGACATTGTCGAACGCTCTAGAGAAGTCTAAACTAACCCCTATGGTTATATGCCTGCGATTTAGTGCTCTAGAAACATGATCACCTAAAACAGAGAGAGCATGAGACGTAGATAATCCTTTTCTGAAGCCAAATTGGCAATCAGAGAGTATGTCCTTGTCTTCAATTTCATTAGAAATATTTCTTAAAATGAAATATTCCAGTAATTTTCCAAAGACCGAAATCAAACTGATGGGCCTATAGCTATTCCTATTGGTCGGGTCCTTACCAGGCTTTAAAATTGGGACAGTTATGGCTATTTTCCATGCCCTAGGAAAATATCCCAAATTTATACATTGGTTGAAAATTATCGCAAGATTTATCCATGTAGAGTTGTCAGTGTTCCTCAAGACGATTTCAGGAACACTGTCAACACCACTGGATTTGCGATTAGGTCTGGCTTTTACTGCAGAACCTATATCTGCAGGAGATATAAGCCTCAGATTATTTAATGAGCCACCATTTGAACCGTCCGCTAGTAAATTTTGTGAAAAATTGACTATTGGTGTCTTTGTCATAAATTCCCTCTCTTGCAGAGTCTTGATTGCAGAGTCTTGTGGACTAGAATGTAACATGTTGCCTTGTATGCCGTCAGCAATAAAATTAGCTTTTTGTTCTTCAGCCGTAAAGATGAAGCCATTTTCGTCCACAAGATCTGGAATTGGGTTACGTTTACAACCTGCTGCAGATTTTACCTTGCTGTAGACCCTATTGTCCATTTTTATATTATTCAGGAAGTTGGTTTTGTTAGCGGCGGGCTAAAGTGTAGGTACATCGAAAAGATGAGATGTGCATAGTAGTCATTTGGTAAATTTTTCGAAAGATTGTGTGGAAACGTGTTAATTTTCCTGAAGAAGCTTTGATAATTTTCACTAAAAATGTCTTATACCTTTAAAGTATAGATTTCAGGCTATGTTTTAAAGAATGTTTGGTGTAATTATCACTTGCCGTTTGTGATTTATAAACGTTTAACTTGGCAGATTATAAAAATGTAATCACAAATTTCCAAATAAAATTTTAAAAAAAATCAATTTTTTATGAAAAATTAATTGAAAATTCTTTTTGAAAATGTAGCCTGATATGTTTACATTAGGATCAAAGAAAAATATCGATGATATTTCATATTTTACTATGTGAAAATATTGAAATTATTATGTGGTCTATGACAGAAGATATCCTCTTGTTGGCATAATTTCAATGAAGAAAAGTTTTTCTTGAAATAAATTTGAAAGCTCAAATCTTAATAGGTTTTATAAAAATTTCTTAATAAACAATTCAGAATTTGTATATTTACATCAAAATATAACATTATTCAAAAAAAGTGATAATTTACGGGGAAACGTTATAAAATCCCCAGAATACTTCATACTAACAATGTACAGGCACTCAGTGACAAACGGTTATGTATTTTCATTTTGCAATATTTTTTATGAAATTTAACACAATTTGTTCTAAAATTTTTTAAAAGCAGTGTTAAAAGCCTTTTTCTACGCTATTTTGTCAAATGTTTGTTAATTTTATGACAAAATATTCCTAAAAAGAAATTCCTCTTTACAGGCAATTATCACCTAGAACACTTGGAAATGTCATGAAATTAATTGCGTTTTACCAAAATGATTTTCGATCAACTTCAAAGGTTGATATTGGCATTTCTTTTTATAATACTTGTAATTATATTTTACATCAAAATTCTCAACAAACCAGTTATTTTCTTCTTCAATTTTTAAAAATAATCAATTATTAGCAATTTCTTCTAATACATCGGGCAAAAATAGTTATTTAATTCCATACGGAGAAATATCATATTCAAATCTCTTAAAAGGCGTTTAAAACATTTAAAAATTTTGCTGAAAAAGAATAAAACATAATTCATACATCATTCCCGAAACAAATAAAAAAGATGGGGCAACATTTTAGCTGGAAATTTTTAAAATTCACATGAAATAATTCGTAGAAATTAATGGCAGAGAAATTTTTTCCGCTAAATTGAATAGTCCACAACAGAAAAAAATGATCGAAAGGGCATAAAATGAGAGAAAAAGACAAATTTCGCGCCAAAATCATGAAGAGAGAAATTTTTTGTTTAGCGGGAAAAGGAAAAAAACAAAATGGACAAAGAAATCCCGTTAGCAAAATGTATGTGATGGTTGTTTTCATGAGTCATAGCATTTTTTTTTCCAAGAGGGAGTACAAAAATGATAATAATTTTGCAAATTAAAGGAAATTATCAATATGGATAGTTGAAAAAATTAAAATAAAATTAAAAAAATTAAAATAAAGTCAAAATCAAAAAAAAAAAAAAAAAAAAATCTGTCGAAAAATCATCAACGAAAAAAAAACAACATCAAAAGATATATCTTTATTTTAAAAAAGTGTTAATAATTGTTGAAAAATAATCAAAGGCCAAATTCTTTTTATTTATTTCAAAAAAATTCTAAAAATTGTAGATTGAATAAATAAATATCTCTTTTTTGTAAAATATTTGTGGTCCTGAAAAGGACCGATAGTTTTGTTGTAAAATTGTTGCTTTTAAAATGTCAAGAATTTAAGCACGTTCACCACGAATACGTCTGGCCAATTGGATATCCTTAGGCATGATGGTGACACGCTTAGCATAGATAGCGCACAAGTTAGTATTTTCGAAAAGACCAACCAAGTAGGCTTCACTGGCTTCTTGCAAGGCCATAACAGCAGAGCTCTGGAAACGCAAGTCAGTTTTGAAATCTTGATCGATTTCACGAACCAAACGTTGGAAGGGCAATTTGCGGATCAACAATTCAGTACTCTTCTGGAAACGAAGGATTCCACGCAAAGCAACTGTACCAGGAGGGAAACGATGAGGCTTCTTAACACCGCTGGGGTGGCTGGGACACTCTTACGGGCAGGTTTGGTGGCTAGTTGTTTACGGGGAGCCTTTCCACCTGTCGATTTACGGGCAGTTTGCTTAGTACGAGCCATTTTTCACCTGAATTTTTTCACTTCACTAGAGATATGCACACAAACACTGTTAACACTGTAATAACGTTGCCTGGCTGACTATAGCGGATACTTATTAAAAACTGTGCTTTTAGCATCAACTTTCGGGGTTGATATGTTAGTGAATTCTTACCTATCGGTACACCAAATGTAAACGCACACACAAAAGAGAACATACAATCCCTTCAGAAAAAAAGAGTAGTACCGCAGTGCTGCTCGAGTACTCGCCAAGCGATACCGACCACTCGCTCTTCATTTCCCCGTTAACGGTAAGAGCTGCTGACTTTTACACTGGACTGTCGTGTGAAAATCAGTACTCGCTTTTGCAGCGCTCTGTGAGGGGTGAGCGACTGCTGAATTTTGTATCAGTCGCCATTGAAAGAAAGTAACTGAACATACTGCACGAACGTAATTATTCGCATTGCCATTGCAAATAATTAAAAGAACGAAAGACAGATTTTGTTTTCATTCAGCTATTT